GATCCTGAGCCAGCCCCCAAACCCCTCGGCCCCCTCAATTCCCTTCTAACTTAATCAAAGCAACCCAGATCCTGAGCCAGCCCACCCAGAGGCACCCCCGGTTCGACACTATTCAAGCCAACATTTTTGGTCGGGGGGGGGACCCCTCCACTATTTGGGCCGCCACATTACTACAGATGTAGGTTGTGATACTGTCGATGCTATAAATCCTGCATCACATTAAGGACCCTAAACTATGGGAAACATGGGTATATTCCTAATTATGGGTCCCCTGCTTCCACACTTTCACTGAGCGTATCTTTTTCGGTGTAGAGTGTAGAGCAGGCTTCAGGGTCCTAGGGCCAAGGAGTAATCGATTTACGGCTTAGAGTTTAGTGCATGCATGCATGTATGTATGCGTTTATGTATGTACGGATGTATGTATGTAAGTATGCATAAAGGCATGTATGTGCGTATGAGTGCATGAATGTGCATGTGTAAAACTATATGTATATACATATACACCAGCACGCAAGCCCCCATGAATCTACCGTCTTCGTTTCACATATACGTATGTATTTGCGAGCTTGGGATGCCACCAAGGTCTAAGCAGCATTGAGCAGTTGGATGTAGCAGCCGGCCCCTCAGAGATCGGGGTTGCGGCTTCGGGCTGCGCTTGCGCGTGGGTTTCGTTTTGGGGTTTTAGGCTTCATGTTTCGTAGGGTGTCTTTTGAGCTGAGTACTGTCTTCACCTCTTGGGGATTAAAGGAAATGGCTTGCAAGTACCAGGTCAGCGTTTTTTCTTTCGAGGCTTCTCAGCATCATGTGGGGTGTGGCGTTTCGAGTGTAAGGTGTTCGGGATGCTAGCTTGCAGGGTTGCAAGCAGTGACGCTCTGGGATCAGGAAATGCATGGGCATGCACAGTGATACAGGGGCACCAGATTGCATTCGACCCTTACAAGTGTGATGGGCGCGGCCTTTCAACAATAATCGTGTGCATGTTCTCCCTGGGTATGTAGACAAACTCACCGAAACGGGATATGAGTGCTACATGCCATGACAGCGTTGTTCACGTGCTATCGTTGCAACAGCATCGCAAACATCAGAAGCTGGACACAAAGCTTCCCTTTTGCACAGCATTTGGTGTCGGGATTAATGTAACGACGGCTCTGGGTTTGACAGTGGGCTGGAGGCCGTCTAGGGAAGGACTTGCGGTTTTAAGAGCGCAGGAGGAGGGCTACAGTGACCTTCACAAGTGATTTGTCACATCTTGGATGCGGCGTGACATGTTGGTACGGAGCAACGAACACTTGAAATACAGATGTCACATGTCCCTGCAAACAGGCTTCATGAGACCAGAATCTACACGACTTAGACAGACAGGCATCGCGAGGAACCTCGAGATTCGATGTCAATGTAGAGCTGATTCGAGGGTGGAGTCTCGCTTCAAGACACCTTATGCCAAATCTCGATTGAAGCCTAGACCGTGACAGCCAACAGCACAGCTATGACGGGAATCAGGGTTCGAGTACATTATTCGGGATCTGGAGGCAGTAACATGACCAGCTCCTGAGTTATGAAAGGTCATGCTCACAGTGCGAGCAGAAGTAGCACCATTTGGGAGGCAGTCCGCGCGTGTCTGCTGCATAGTGACTTTTCACAGGGACCCCCATCTCTGTCGTCCGAGGTCTTCTACGCAACCTTGCCTGGTCAGTTCCGGAGTACCGTGGTATCCACGGCCTAGCTTTGGCTGCGTCGAAAAAAGCTGCATGTCTGACTCCTCGCGGATGCGAGGACTTCAGACAGAATCTTATGTTGGCTGCACCTTACTGGGCTTGAAGTTGCTGCATATACTCATATGAGTCACTGCGCGACCTTTGATAAATCGTACAAGCCTCAAAAACCCCGACGCCTCAGACCCCTCCTCGCCTTTCGCGCCCGCTTGGTGCCTTTGTGGGCTCAAGAGGGTTTGTGCCGACCTACCTTGGGGGGAAGAAGTCGCTCGGCTGAATGTAGGGGCCTTAATAATTAGAATAGGGCTTGGGGGTCTATTATACTATAATCATAATAAGGAACACCCAAAACCCTATTTTGCTTATTAAGGCCCTTATGTTAGCTTCCCGGGCTTTGCAGGGAGGGTTCGGCATCCCGGAGATTCGAATTTCGAAGCCTTCTTTCTAGCCGGAGCTGATGCATCAAGCCTGCGTTGCACCCAGGGCCCAGGACCCGCAAGCCTAACCTTCTCGTAGGTGGTCATGGTGTCGTAGCCTCTATTGTGGATTTCACCTGTATCGTTTTCTAAAGTAGGGTCGTTTTTAGGGTCCCTTTTTTATCAGGGTGCCGTACTGTATTGGGGACCTGAAAAGGGACCCTAATTTAGAGAACTACCCACTGGGCGTCCTGAAAGGCTCTGAACTTGGGGGGCTTCGCGGAAGTGCTGGTTCTTCAATGGACTTTTCCACCAAATCCAGGGTTGGGGATCTGAAATCAAGTGAGGGTCCTGGGGTTCAGGGTTTAGGGTTTGGGGTTTAGGAAGGTTAAGGGTTTAGGGTAATGGTTCAGGGTTTATAGGTTGCTCTGCTCAAAGACTAGTTCGTTCGAGTTGCAGAGTGACCCTAAACTGCAGAATTACCCGAAGGAGCAGAACTTTGTTCGGCAATCGCTCAGGTAATCGCGACGACCCGAAGACAGCCAAGGTGGATGTTTTGGTCTAAGGGGCTGCCCTGTGCTAGCGTCCTGTGAGCTTTCCAGACTATGTGCTGCTACTCCAAACCCTAAACCCTACAGTTGATGATGTAAAGCCTGCATTACTCATAATTCGGAAGATACCATAATTCCCATAGTTTAGTTTAGGGTCCTTAAAGCAATGCAGGAATTTATATTATCACCCTAGGGCTCCTGATTTTTGGGGGTTTGGGTTTAGGTTGGATGCTGCCCCCACTCAGTGACAGTTGAGTCATATTCATAATATGGATATATACCCGAAACCCTAAGCCCTTTTTGGGCCCTTACTAGTAGCCCTACTATAGACTGTTCCTGTATGGGGGGGGGCAGATGGGCTTAGGGTTTGTTTAGGGTTTTCAGGGTTTTTGAGGGTTTTCATGTCTTCTAGGATTAGGGGAGCGTGAGGGGCTTAGGGTCCTAAACCTCGCATGGGCCCAGATATACTAAAGCCCCAGGCCATAAAGCCCCAGCACAGCAATCCTAGGGGGTTTTAGGGGCTTAGGGTCTGTCAAGCAGGTGCCTTGGCCTCCAGCTCAAGCCACCATCAGCCAAAATCCTCGAAATCCCTACTTGGAGGTTCACGGGTAGTTATAAATAAAATCGTAGGGCTATCAGTAGGGTAACTATACTTGTAACCCATATTCGGGGACTTATAATATAACCCACTTAAAACTACTCTAAACCCCACTTATAACTACTCCTGAACCTCCAAGCATGAGTCACCGACCGAAAACTCCAACAGCCTGAACATGCGTTTAGGATGTTTAGGGTTTAGGGTTCAGGGATTTTAGCATGAAGCTTCAGACTTTCCAGCATATGGCGTTCCGCTTCTAGGGCTCATGGATTCTAGGGTAGGGCGGTCACCTTAAATACTCGTACCCACTATTCGGTACACTATTCGGGGTCATATGCCGCCAAAGGTCCTGACAGTCTCTCTCTCTCCGGATGTTGACATCATTAGGGTTCCAAGTCCAAAAGCCGGAGGTCCCGAATCCCCAAGTTTTCCACACAAGCCCTATTCCCCTACTCGATGTGAGCATATACATATACATATATAGATTGCGCCGTGAACCACACCTTCTAAACTGTTAATATTGACAGAGGTTTAAACTGATACTTGCTCCTTGAGCCTTACCTAAACCCCCAAAAGTAGGTGAAATGATGGCCCAAGGCCTAGAAAGGGCTATTATTCTACATACTTCTTTGGTCCAGGTAAGCCCTATGTAGCCTTAGAAACAGCAAACAGCCAACATCCTTGTCCGGAGGAGGAGCCATGAGCTACGAGACCGCCGATTCGCAAAAGGAGGAGTTCCGCAAGTACCTGGAGATGCTCGAATTTGTTGGTCGGTCTTCGTTCCCAAAGGGTCCAAAGTACCGATATAGTAGAATGTGGGGTTTCCATGTTGGGATTTACTCTTATGATTTAGGGAAGTATCCCCCGTAACAGTACATAGGACCCTTTGGGTTTGTGTAGGTTCAGATTTAAACGCGGTTTACACCACTACCCCGTAAACTGCACGATGCCCCAAACAGCAATCTGAGGCTTTAGGCCCCTGTCTTCCGCTTCCCGGCAGACACCGTTACATCTTCTTCACGGCGTGCCTGAACTCGACACTTGCAACCAGACATCGCACCACAAACTTAGCCAAAATCCTGTCCCGACCCCCGCACAAGCCCAGTTTCCTCTCCAGGTGTCACTGGCTCCCCTGAAAATCTAGGACATTTTCAGGTGGGTAGTTACTGTTATAGGAGCCTTATAGAAGGTCTATATACCTTATAGAAGCCTTATGGAAGCCCTATATAACCCTAAACTCCCCGCATGCAGTTACCTGTAAGAAGACGCTGCTCAGGAAGAACGGTATCATCTCGCAGCTCACACGCGTCTTGGTGGGCCTCTACGAGGAGCAAGCAAGCAGGGCTTTGAAAAGAACTAAGACGTGTGGACTTTGTCGTTTCTCAAGTCGCTTGTTGGGTTCTTGGAGGTTCATGGGTAGTTATAAGTGGGGTTACAAGTCCCCTAATATGGCTTATAAGTATAGCTACCCTACTTATAAGCCCAATAATAACTCTACCCATGAACCTCTAAGTTCTCATGCTGCGGGTTCACCATGTTTTTCCTTGTGTTGGCTTCAGGGCTTGGCATACTGGGACGCACAAGACAGACATGTGCTTAGAGATTCTAGGTATTAGAATGCCAGTCGTGCAGACTCTTACATGCAAACTTCCGGCCGCAGCAGCAAATCCCGACAAGAGTTTGTTCGCTAGCGCCAGCACGACAAGAAGATGCTCTTGTACAAGCAAGAGCATGTGCTTTGCCAAGCTGCCCTGCAGGCCTTTCATGAAGCCACCCAAAACATTGATGATCCCGCCGTCTAGATAACGACCTTTCAACCCTATACCCGATGAATCACTCGACTACTGAAGCTGAAGATGCACCCATGTCGTCAATCTACGCATCGCCACAAAAATTTCGGGTAACCCGGCATGGAACTCACATTGCCCAATGATTGCATGGCTAAATCTGACTCGCGCAGTCAAAAGCGCTACGAGCTTTCAGAGCTAGAAAGTTCCAGGAGCCCGGTTAAGCATCGAAGTTCGTCTACACTGTGAACCACATAGATCAAGCCTTCAACGAAGCAGTCTCGACAGCCCGAAACCCACAGCCCTTAAACTTCCCAAGCCCTCTACCGTGTCCGCGAGGAGCCGGAGCGCCCCGCGAACGCCGTGGCGCCCAGAGACACAGGGATTCCATGGGTCAGAGTCTGCGGTTTGCAGCTTAAGGTCTGGGGTTCGGGGTGGTACTTGGAGGTTCATGGGTAGTTATAAGTGCGGCTATAAGTTCCCTAATATGAACTAATATGGGTTATAAGTATAGTTACTCTACTTACTTAAAAATATTTATAGCTACCCATGAACCCCCAAGTAAAGGGTTGTTTTAATGAAGGGGGTTTTACTGCTTGGGATCTGTACTCATCTCCTCTGTTTGAGACTGCCTGGACCCGCAACTGTAGCTTGTCCAGGGTTTGCTACGTTTGCCTCTTGAGATAACTACCACGTATATTTAAGTGAATGCACTGGAGGACCCGTGTAGTTTAAGAGTTTTAGAGCCTGTACACCCTCCCCAAACCCTAAACCCTAAAGCCTAAACCCAAACCAAGGTTTTGGCAGTTGAGAGCTTTAAGATGGGTAGATGCTGCCTCAAGCAGAGCTGCTAGGTGTGTGATGTGTGTCTGTCTGTCTGTCTGTCTGTCTGCCTGCCTGCCTGCCTGTCTGTCTGTCTGTCTGTCTGTTTGTTTGTGTGTGTGTGTGGTGTTTGTCTGTATGTGTGTGTGCGTGTGTGTGTGTGTGTGTGTTTGTGTGTTTCTGTGTGTGTGTGTGTTTGTGTTTGTGTTTCTGTGTGCGTGCTGCAGCATCTATCGAATTTATTCAGGACTAATCATATAGTATAGGGGCCTAAATTCCTTGTTGTAACTATAGTATAACGCACCTCAAAACCCTAGTCTAATTATTAAGGCCCCTATATGAGGGAAAGGCACTGCGTAATTCCATGAGCAATTTGGGCATACTCCGCAGCCCGGTTACTTCCCAAAAACGAGGCAGAAGGGGTTGAGTACTCAACCCTACTTGGAGGTTCCATGGGTAGCTATAAGTGGGGTCATAAGTCCCCTAATAGGCTTGTAAGTATAGTTACCCTACTTAGAACCCCATGTACAGCTGCCCATGAACCTCCAAGTAAACCCCGATACCTCGGCGCTGGCTTGCACCAAAGGGAATCTGACCAGCTGAAAGAGGGTAGAGATGCTCTCACATAGAGCAGCTACTTGCAGAGTACTATGGTGAGCTCGTGTTCAGCAGTTGGGACGGTCTTTGCAAGGGGCACCTACACACCAAGCGTTACCGAGCCCTAGTTCCTGAAGAGGACAGAAACAGAAATCGCCAAAGAAGCCTTCGGCATGAGAGGTTTCATTCGCTTAGAGTAACTCCGAAGACGGGTCGAAGGTAGATCTAAACTAGAACATTCTTTTGAGAGACTTAAATTTATCGGGGATACATGTCACGCAATACAGGTCCTGAAAAAGATCATCATGGGTCTACCATAGACTTGCCCCTCAACCCTAAACCCTTTAAACCTTATAAGCACCCTATAAGCCCTGTATGCCCTCTACACCCCAAAAACTCTATAAGCCCTCTCAACCCCAAAAACCCTATAAACCCTATAGCCCTGAACCCTAAACCTGGGAGCTTCAGGCCATCGACTACATCAAGAAGTACCTGGGGGCCCCTACAGGTGCACACGGGGCTTCGACGGACAGATCGGGGTTTAGGGTGTAGGGTTTGGGGTTTAGGGTTTAGCTGAAGAGATTCTGGAGGTTTGTCTTACAGGGCTCGCGTGGAGCTGTCACAAAACGGTCGGTACTGTAAGAAGTTGGGGTGCTTGAAGGTACCCTAAACCCCAAACCCTAA